AGCATCAGAAAGGAATAAAGAGAAATGGAAGGAGCAGAAATATGGGTAAATTCTTCTTCGCATGAGTTTTATTTCACATGCAATGATTAAAACAAAAATTATAACATTATTTATTATTTAAAAGTGAGAAGAGTAAAGAGAACTAAATGGAACCAAGGTTTCTACTTTACTAAAAGTGGACTATGAGTCACGTGTATATATTTTAATAGAGCAACTTCAAAGAAAACTACACAAAACCATACACTCAAAAACTATAATTAAATCAAGAAGGCCCCCTAAACATGTTCAAATAACCCACAGAAAGGCAAGAAATCAGAAACTGAGGAATGAGACACAGAAGAAGCAAACAAAAAACAAATAATAAAATAGTAGACTTCAGCCTTAATATATCAATTACTTTAACTGTAAATGGTCTAAATACACCAATTAAAAAATAGAGATTATTCTTCAGTTGCCTAAGAAGAAGGAATGAATGATTTTGGCAATTTCCATCATACCAACTATCACATTGTTAATTTATTGGTCTCTGGTCTCTGTCATGTAACTTAAGTTTTGATTTGATTATGTGTTTATATTATTCCATTTAATTAATACCCAAAATTTACATCACACAATCATGTTGACTTGGCTCTGTGACTTTTACATGGTTCTCCAACTGGGACTTATTTAAACAAGCAACAAGTACTAACATTTCAAAGTAAAAATGAAAAAATCTAATCTGAAATTTCTTAAAAGGGAAGAAGTGAGTTTCCAAGGGTAAATCAACTGGTAATTTTTGGAGCACTGAGCAATTTCTATGTTCCTTCCTTTCCCCTAACATATCAGTGCAGGATAGCATATAAAAATTGTCAAATGTAGCCCCTGATATGGGATTCTAACTAAGCAACACTACTTATAAAAATTATATTTATTTGATTTAAAGGGCTCATCAATCCACTATCCTGGGTACTGGGGACTCCCAATGCCCCCAGAGAACTATGGAATATTAAGGACATTTTCATGAAAGAATTGGGAAGCCTCAGATGGATGGGAAGTGAAGTTAGAAGACCAAGAAGACAGAATGGAGTGATGGGTTTAATGACTTCTTCCACTTCTCCATAGGATAGTGATACCTGATCTTACCTTGGGATTCCAAGTCCCTCTTCCCCTTCTGAAACTGAGGGAAGGTGAAGCCTGGACTACTGTGGTGTTACTGGTCACAAAGGGGACATATTAACCTGAAAATTGTGACAATTGAGAGTTTGCTGTAGGAGGTTTCTAGAAGAGGATTCAGTGTCAAGTGGTACCACTTGGACACAAGGCTTTGTGATCTGTAATCTACTGTGCAAATGGATAATCTGTTCTTACATGTTGTTGTTCATTGGTCATTGTAAGCAGGAAACCATAGACCCACATGGACACAGATGTTGGTGGTAGTAGCTGCATTAGTCAAAGCAGTGAGAAAATCAGGGTCACTTCCCAAAAATAGAGGAGTCTCCTATCCCATGCCAGTAGGGAGCAACTGAGTGACCCAATGAGCCTTCCCTCCTCCTCCCATTCTACCTCCACTCCCCACAAAGGGCTGGAACTCACCTCTGGGGAGCAGGCTCTGGCATAAAGTCCCCCAAAGCCACAGGTGTATTGTCAAATACCTTCTTCTAATGGCCAATGTCACAGGGAAAGACCAGCCAGGTGCCCCCCAACATGTGTTTAGAAACCTCCTATAATGTTGGGCTGGAGCCTAGGAGACCAACAAAGAAACTTTCCTAGAGACAATGTCAATATCATCCTCCAGTACCTCCTGGACTACTAGGCAATGAGAAACACAGAATACATCCAATTTGCAGGAACTTAATTCATTTTTGTTGGACTTAAGGGGTCTGTGATTTATCTTATGAACCATCTTTGTACAAACAGTGCCCAGGATAGGCACACGTGAGCCAAAATCCTGTTAGTGTTCTCTTGAGGCCATTTGAATGTAATGGCATTCAAGGGCACTTTTTCCCAACCCTCTCCTTTATGGCTCTCAACCCACTGCTCCCACCTCCCAAGAGCTCCTCTCCTCCCTCAACAGATGAGAGCTCACCATTGACTAACAGGTCATTGCAGCTCTTTCTACATCTCCCCATTCAGCATCCCAGGACCATCTGCCAATCTGTCTCCTGAACTACTCCTCCTAGAACACTATTCATGTGCTAAATCTCAGTGGAAATGTTCGAAGTAGTGGCCAAAAGCAGGGATGTTAGAGCCACACTGAGCTAAGTATCCTGCTAATTACTAGCTGTGTGACCTTGGGCATGTTACTTTATCTCTTTGTGCCTTGGTTCTTTGTCTGTACAAAGATGGGGAAAATAATTGTACCTACTGCAAATGCATGTTGTACTAGAGCAGTAACTGTACATAGGACACTCCAGAGGACTATAGGCATCACTGTCATTCAGAGAAGACTTCCCTGACTCCTCCAAGAAGGGGGTGAGGCTTTCTCTGTGCTCCCACCATGCCTGGTACTGACCTGAGCTAACACAGTTACTTTAATTGTTCTCTCCCAACTGTGGGCATCACTGTGTCCACCAGACCATGAGGTCCTGCAGGGCAGCAGGGTCTTGTTATTGCCACTGTATACTCACCACGAGGCACAGGGCCAGGTACAAAAGAGATTCAATCAGTTCTGCTATAAAGCTGGTTTTGAAATGCAGATTTGATCCAACCAATTGGTGTATTAGGGAACTGAGCATAAGGTGAATATTCTGTTTACTGATGTGTGATTTCATTTGCAAGAAACTAGATGAACATGGAAAACTGCACCCAGCTGAACCAAACTGCATAGGAAAATGCAATGAGCACACATGCACATTCGCAAACATTCATCAGCTGCCTCAGTTCACCACACCTGTCCACATCTGGTGTTACAGCATCTCACCTGACTTCAGATTAGTGTCTCTCACCTCTTCACAATAATTCACAAGCTACTTCCAACACTCACTTCCACAAGGAAAATTCCAAGTCTTTTTCAAGGTGAAGTGTCATATTTATTGGTGCATGTGCTAGTATGTACTTTGTAATTATTTAACATGTGCCTCCATTTTTGTTGGCTACTATCCTTTTTATTTTTAATATATTTTTATTAATTTTTAGAGAGAAGTGAAGGGAGAGGGACAGAGAGATAGGAACATCAATGAGAGGGTAAGTCATTGATTGGCTACCTCCTTCCTGCACAGCCCCCACTGGGGATTAAGCCTGCAACCCAGGCACGTGCCCTGATCAGGAATTGAACCAACAACCTGGTTCCTGGGTTGATACTCAACCACTGAGCCACACCAGCTGGGCAGTTCCTACCCTTTTTAAATAGGTCACTGACAAAGTTTGCAAATGTTGTGTCCCTCCTCCCATTTCTTCTGTAAGCCCTGTGTTTTTTATTGCATTATCTTGCATATTGTGGTGATATTTAGGATATGTTTCATTATAACAAAAGAAATCATACTCAGTGGATGTGGTTGATGGCAATTAATTCTTTCTTGTCTCCATGGATACCTAAGGCTCCCAAAGCTGTAGGAGCCCCCCGTTAGTCAGCAAACACTGTTTGGGCCAGCACTTCTGCCCCACAATTAAAAGCTATAAATATTTATTCATAGACAACTGCATGCCAGGCACTGTGATGCATAACGGAGGTACCAGGGCTAATAAGAAATACTGACTCTAACTCTTTCAGTCTAGTGGGGAAAGGAGAGACAAGTAATTATAATAAAGGGGATGCTATTAAAAAATAAAGCAAGGTTTTCTCTGCAGCAAAGACCTCCCAGGGGAAGTAGTCCTCTTTCCCAGATCCCTAAGTTAGTCTCTTTCTTTGTTGCCCTATCTCTGCCTTCTTACTCTACTTCCCAGGTTACCAGACCTATCAGCAATGAGCAAAGATGGAGCAGGGAAGAGTTAATGTGGCACAGGTGGGAGGGGTAGGGCCTGAGGGAAGCAGGTGTAGCAGCCACATAAAGGGCCTGGTAGGCACTGGTCAAGGCAAAGAACAGCTGCCAACACATCGCGCTCAGGATCCCTCCCCAGTCAAGCCTTCTGTTGTTTTCTTCCTCCATTTATTCATTCAAGAGATACAAGCTTCCACCGTGGGCTAGACTCTGGAGGAATCGGTTCTGCTCACCCTGACTCCTTCAGCACCAAGGATGCTTCTACCTCGCATGGCTGCTCCTCTGAGTTGACTGCCATTTCCTCCCTGTCACTTCTCCCTCTGGCACATCAGGAATGAGACTCTAGTGGGACCTCTTCTGGATTGTAAAGAAGGAAAAGAGCGAAGTTCCTTTTTCGCTGCCATTTCTCCCTTTCTTCATTGCATCCCAGGCCCAACGTCAACTCTTCGGCCAGTGTTCAAGTTCACGATTTCAGCATCGAGTTAAAGGAAACGTAAGCACCCCACACCCCAAAAACCTACCAGTTTTCTCCTGTCACACAAGGCTTCCACCTTCACTCCAGGTTCCACCTACCTCCTCTTCCTGTTTCTCCCTTTCTCTTTTAACCCTCCCCCTTTCTTCTTGGAGGGTAGCTGCCCAGCATGTTAAAGCTGAGTGATGCTTAAGCCCACCCCCATTGTAAAGATGAGGAACCTGAGGCCCAGGAGTTGTTCCTAAGGATACCCAGTCAGGGACAGAACCAGCCTAAGGCCTGATCCCCACCCAGCGTTGGCTTTCTCCCCATCACCAGACACTGACACTGACTCTATTTGGACCCTGAGGGAGAAAAACATACATCTCAGCTCCACTCTCAGCTGACCTCCCACTGAAGGGCTCTGACTGTACCAGCCACTATAGCAGTGACCACACCTTTCCCCACTGCCACTGTCCCCTCTCTCTCCCTACCCTCATGAGCTTTCAAGGGCAAAGGATTCTCCCATCCTAGCTAGGGTTATGGTCTTGATTATCCATTCAAATCCCCAACTAAAGATAAAAACCCTGTGATCTTCCCAGTCCTATACTACCCTTTACATACTCTATGGATAGGTCTGTGCCACTGTGGCACCCCCCAAAATTCCTCTGTTTGTCCTTCCCTTCGCAGGAGTCATGCCCCCATGAGCCCTAAAGCTTTATCCCACACAGGATGGCAGAAGTTCCACAGCCCAACTCCACCTTCCCACGCCCAGCCTTCTTCCTACTGACTGGCATCCCCGGGCTTGGGGGGACCCAGGCCTGGCTGACACTGGTCTTTGGGCCCATGTATCTGCTGGCCCTGCTGGGCAATGGAACAATGCTGGCAGTGGTGCAGGTAGATTCCACACTGCACCAGCCCATGTTTCTCCTCCTGGCCACCCTGGCAGCCACAGACCTGGGCTTAGCCACATCCATAGGCCCAGGGTTGCTGGCTGTGATGTGGCTCGGGCCCCGCCCTCTGCCATATGCTGCCTGCCTGGTCCAGATGTTCTTTGTCCACGCGCTGACTGCCATGGAATCTGGTGTACTCCTGGCCATGGCCTGTGATCGCGCCGTGGCAGTAGGGAGTCCACTGCACTACTCTATCCTCGTCACCAAAGCTCGTGTGGGATACGCAGCCTTGGCACTGGCACTAAAAGCTGTGGCTATTGTTGTGCCTTTCCCTCTGTTGGTGGCACGATTTGAACACTTCCGAGCCAAGACCATAGAGCATGCCTACTGTGCACACATGGCGGTGGTGGAGCTGGTGGTGGGTAACACACGGGCCAACAATTTGTATGGGCTAGCGCTCTCACTGGCCGTGTCGGGTGTAGATATTCTGGGCATCACTGGCTCTTATGGGCTCATTGCCCACACTGTGCTGCGACTGCCTACCAAGGAGGCCCGTGCTAAGGCCTTTGGCACATGTAGTTCCCACATCTGTGTCATTCTGGCTTTCTATGTGCCTGGTCTCTTCTCCTACCTCACACACCGCTTTGGTCGTCACACTGTCCCCAAGCCCGTACACATCCTTCTCTCTAACATCTACTTGCTGCTGCCACCTGCCCTCAACCCTCTCATCTATGGGGCCCGCACCAAGCAGATCAGGGACCGGCTCCTGGAAACCTTCACATTCAGAAAAAGCCAGTTCTGATGGGCACTAAAAACAATGAAGCCAAGAGGTGGCGCTGGGGGACATTCAAAAAATCTGGAATCCGGAAGTATGAACTAGGTCATTGGCCTCATTATCTGCATATGACTCTCATAACCACTCAACAGGTGTTTGCTGTGAAGCCCTACTATAGGTACCACTGGAATGTGTAGTTAGGCCTAGCCACATATCCTGCTTGTGGGGAGGCAGGAGGCAGGCGCCAGTGTGTTACCATGCAAGGAAAATAAGATCAGAAATTATCAGGGGGTCCTAACACACAAGATTTAAAGAAAACTCCACTCCTTGCCTCTCCCCATCATTTTAACTTAAGTCTGCCCCTGTTCCCCTCACAATAGCTCCTCTGCAGATCCTGAATCTAGGTGTCTGGGAAGAGGGACAGTGCCTCTGAAGACTAGTTCTTGTCTGGGATCACAGCCCTATTTCTGGGGTCAGATTCTGTTTTAGCCAGTCCATAGAGAGGGAGTCATACAGGCTTATCCCCCACCTTCTGAAAATCTAGATAATGTGTCCTGGGGTCCCGGTTTCACCAGGACACTGATCTTTAAGATATTCCCAGTTCAGAGAATCCTCTTGGTCTCCTGTGTAATCACTATCTCCCCACTCCACCCACTCCCGGACCACACACTCCATTGCCAAAGTCTTAAGAGTTAATGGCTAGAAGTTCTCTCCCGAGGCTTGCAGTTTCATGGGTTAGGAGTCCAACTGAAATAAACTTTTATATCCCAGAAAACCATTGTAATTATTTGCCTGCTTGCCTGAAGTCCAGAATCCCTATGATCTCTTACCAATCTGCCCTTTTGCACATCCTCAGGCAAGAATGTAAAATTCCCAAGTAAAAGCCTCATCAACAACCCTATTTGTCTTGGCCAACATCATCAGAAGCACGTGATGTTGGCGCAATATGATGAAACAGGAGTATTTCACATAGCTGTGGCTACAGAGAAGAGATACTAACAGGTTGTGCCATGGTGTTGCCCAACAGCGGATTCACTTTGCACTCCACACTAGGAAGGATATTGCACAAAAGATCTCTCACACCAGCATGGAGTCCAGAAGGAGTATAATCTCAGACATAAGGCAGGGAGTCACTGTTAATAGGTCATAGAAAGCTGCAGGCTGCACAAGCAGACCAAAGCGCTCCAGGAAAATTATCATAACCACAAATATTGGAGTTAGCCATGAAGACCTGATCCAGGTGGGATGCAGACCAGAGCAGATAGCTGGACCACACACCATGGGACACTGCACAGGAGGCCATATGGCTGAAAAGGCAGGTGGGTGCCATCTACAGGGCCACATGGGGTCTCATCGGGCCTCATTTCAAGGAACTGAAGAGATAGCCCAGAAGCTATGATTTTCAGAGGTGCTGTCACACTCCAACCAAGTGGAAGAGGAAAAAATCTACTTCCTCAACCCAAATGTGAGCTCAGTCATTCTCATGAGGTTCTAAGTTAAAAAGCCCTCCAGACAATAATTCTGTAAATAATTGTGACAAAATTCTAATCTTAAAAGGGATACAGGTCTTTAAGATGTCCATATCCTTCTCTTAGGGGTTCCTCTTCAATAAATCTAGCCTGACAAAATAATTACCGATATGAATAAAGATGTATGCTATAAGATATTAGATTGTAAAAAATGTTGACAGTCCTGTCACTCACTAACACACACACACATTTTGCCTTTCCCCTCTGGTGCATGAAAAGTGAAATTGTGGTAGCCAATGTTCATAAGCAATGAATTCTGTCAGCCTCCCAGCACAGAAAGCCTCTCTTCTAAGGCAGTTTCGCCCCCTGGTTGTGCACAGCTCCCCAAGGCAGCTGATTCCAAAGCTGTGCATTGTTCATCATAAGAACTCTCTTCCTTGCAAGCTAAAAATCCCCTCGGGCATTTGTATTTTGTTTTGGATTGGGATCACATACATATCTACCATGTGATGTGTTTAGGCTTTACCAGCACTCGCTTGCTCCTCGAAACACCTGAGAACAATTATAAGCCCTTAATCCCTTATCTACAATTCCAAAGATAAAAAAAAAACTCTCAACAAACAAGTGTTTTCATAACTTTGGCCCAGAATGTCACCTAAATCATTTACAATTGTATTTATATTTATATTTATTTTTGAGTGACTATTCATATATTTAGCTGCAGATGTTGATCAGAGAGCACTGCCCTAACTCTCACTGGGGAATGTATGTCTCTATACCTCGGCATCTGTCTCCTCCTTGCACTGTCAGTCCATTTTGCTCCGTTTGTTTCTCACATAAGGACACTATATTACCTTTCTAAAATCTAAAACATTCTGAATTACAGGCCTTGGCTGATGTGGCTCAGTTGGTTGACATTGTCTGGTACACTGAAAGGTCACTGGTTGGATTCCTGGTCAGGGCACATGCCCAGGTTTCGGGCTCCATCCTCTGTCTGGGTGCATGCGGGAAGCAGCTGATCATTGTTCCTCTCTCACATAAATATTTCTCTCTCCCTTTCCCTTCATCTCTCTCTAAAATCAATAAAAGCATGTTAAAATTTTTAAATAATAAATAAAAAATTCTGATTACAAAACACACTTATCCCTAAAGTTTTCAAATAATGGATGGATTAGAAACATACAATTATCCCTGTAGCCTGAAAGAAGTGAAGATGTGTTAGGGTTCTTGATCACTCTAAAGTCTTTCCTATCCACACTATTCTATCCTGCCCTAGAGGTTGCCTGCAGAGAACCTCATGTTCTCTGGATAATCAATCCCACCAGTTGGTTGACCTCATCATCTCTACTCTGGTCACCCCATACGCTGCAGATGATCTGTGTTTTTCCCAGGGGAAGCCCCCAGAATTTGCCACACTGGAGGCAAACCCCATGAACAAATTATGGCCCACAAAACCCAGCCTTTGGGCTCATCAACTCCATCCAGAACTCAATTGTCATCTTTTCCTTCAGCGACTTTCAGTCTCAGACTTTCTGAGTCATAAGGAAAGAGAGACTTATTTAATGTCAGGATAGGGCAGTGTAGAATTTAGAAAACCTAGAGAATCATGGTAAGCCCAGCCGGCATGGCTCAGCGGTTGAGCCTCAGCCTATGAACTGGGAGATCACGGTTCGATTCCTAGTCAGGGTTCATGCCCAGGCTGTGGACACAATCCCCAGTGTGGGACATGCAGGAGGCAGCTGATCAATGATTCTCTCTCACTGATGTTTCTCTCTCTCTCTCCCTCTCCCTTCCTCTCTAAAAATCAATAAAAATATATTTTTTTAAAGAGAATCATGGTAATTAGACAATAAAAGACAAGACAGAGGTATGGACTTCTGGGTGCGAGGTTCATCAGTACTCAATTTCCCCTCAGCTTCCTCTATGAAAATCCGAAAGATACCCTCAATCGATTTACCAATAGCCCATCACCCCTGCACCTACCTCATCCAAGCCCTTCTCATTCTGGAATCTCCTCAAGATATGGATGTGCACATTCTCTGCCAGTTTGTCAATAATTCCCATTGTCTTTGTACCTCTGCATCTCTGTCTCCTTCCACTGTCAGTCAGTTTTGCTCCAGGTCTGTGTCTCTTGTCCATGTGTATCTCTCTCTACCTCTGTGTACCTCAGAATTCCTTTCTGCAGGGAACAGAGGTACTAACCATATACCAGGTGACTTCTCCTTGTCAACCATAATTTAAAAATGTGCTAACTGGGCATTAGGAGGAGAGACTTGGTTTCACTTATCTCAACAGGAAACGGGCTTTTTAATTTTGTCTATTGCACTCTTCTCTCCTCCTGCCCATTTCCTCTTCACTCCACCACTTTGCACTTCCATCTAGCATGTATGCACCTCTCCCATCACACACACAGGCGAGCAGAAGGAACAAGTGGGTTTCTCCCTTCACCAAAAGGAACTACTTACCACTTGATGGTAAAAGCTGGAATCAGGCAGACTTGCACTCATTTATTTAACCACTCTGAGCCTATTCATTCACTTGTAAAATGGGGACATA